GCATGTTGACAACTACCGGTCTATACCACTTAAAGACAATTTATTTAGGTATTGTATGTATTGTCATACACGACCACCTTTGTGACTATCAATACTCAACAAATACGTGTCCATGCACAATGCACTTATTTTTATCGAAATTTCAATTGCATTTCACTGCTTCGTTGAATATTATACTTTGTGAGAAAAGTATTTTTTCTGTCATCAGTGATAACATTTTGCTGTTACAGTTATTTTTGTGGGATGAATTGATCAATCCATTTATGACTAGGTCGATTACAAACAATCATTGCTCCTGGGTAAGATTATGTTCACCGATACAGCGATGTAGCACACTCGCTCTTACGTTGATATTAAATATTAATTACCAAAACTGTTCAACAGTTGGCTTTTGTTTTTATTAAGTTATTCATCTGAATCTAAGTCACGTGCACAGACGTCAAAGCAATGATTATAATATTTAATGACTATCTATCCTTATAATACAGAATTTACGGCCAAAAAAGTAAATTCAACATATTGTAATATCATACTTCATATCATTTATATCGATAGTAATTTTTTTAAACTCCGACCCTTGTTTTTGTACATACATTCATCGCGTGTACCTATAATCTACAGTGCGTATACATCACATACTATACTGCAACTACATTATCTATTATCCGTTCGTAATATTATGATTTATGGACCTACAGCATTATAATATGATCCTACGACTGTGACGTTTGAATGGTTAATTTATCATCTCCGTTTCTGTTACTGTGACCTACAAAGGTATCGTGCATCCTAAATTCTCGTCAAACAAACCGAGAGTCAAGTGCTTCCATTGTCATTTGTCCAGTAATATATGTTTGTATATGTTCGCAGTATTCGCAGTGGATAACGTAAGATTGTTAGTGATCTGTAGAGTTGAGAGGTTTCCTGAATGGCTCGGCAAATACAGTACCCTTTACGAGTCCTGCCTAATTGCACGTTTATAACATATACCTACTATTTAACCTTTGCATTCAAAAAAAAATGTCTTCATAGAATTTGACCATGAAAAAAAAAACGTGCACAACCAACATTTATTATTATTATTAATATACTCGTTATGCATGTTTTTGTATTCTCAATAGTAGTTTACTACTCACAGCGTCCAACAATCGGTTTAAAGTGAATATGACTGTTAAACGCATACAGTTACAAGGGTCGTACAAATTTGGAGAATGGTGATCACACAAATTCATACAAATCACACTAACACCTACTAAATATTTGCACAAAAAAAATTATCAATAAAAATATAATTATTTTAAAAATAACATTATCGACGGTACTGTTTGAAAAGTACGACTCAAAGTTCAAATATTACTTCCTACTTGCAAATAAAAACTACACCTTCAATTATTTTACATTTCCTGTTAAATTTGTTTCTTAGTTGTTTTTTTTTTGAGAATCCGCATCACCTCTAATAAAATAGGACTGGAGTTATTAAACTTGAAATTAATTTTAGCAGTTTGCTATGAAAAATATTGATATAGACTATACTGCGTAGCACCGGTGTCATTAGTAAATACCTAAATCGATGATTAATCTTACAATTTAATATTTTAACATTAAACACATTTATAATTCTTAAAAAATGTATTGAATATTTTTTTACTCATGAACTGTAATTATGTTTAGTATTCTTTTATATATATTAACCTAATTAACTTAATCATTTTACTAAAAGAAAACAATTTTTAATATATTTTTTGTTTTGAATTTTAAATTACGTTAAAATAAAAAAGGGTAGAAAATATTCGACCTTAAAAATAAACAAAAATACATAATCATTTTCGATCAAATATTTTATGGTATTTTTCTTTTGGTAGAATTGCATTGTTATGAAGTATATTAAAAACATTTTCAAAATCAAAACAAAGTAAATTTTAAATTGAAATATGCATAGTTTATTAATAATAATATGTGAGTACCAAAAACTCTACAAAGGAAATAAACTAATGTTATGTTTGTTTAAAGTTCAAATATATTCATAAACTACCAACACTGAAGGCTCCGCGCGTAGCTCAAATACGAGTTGTTTTTTTTTTTATTCAAATAACGAATATTAGGTATCAAAATATTTATAATAATAAAATAGTTTACCAGAAGCAGTGAACATATTATTATTATTAATAGCAACAAAAGTGCATAGGTAGAAAATATATTGTAGAAGACCCACGCTTTCAAAAGAAAGAATCTTTTTGGTGAAATAACATCGTCATTTGGTATGCATTATCATATTGCTATGTTATATGTCTTCATCTTGAAAAGGTTGGGAAAAATGAAAGTTTTTAAATATTATTAAGAATATTATTACAGTAAATGCATACAAATTATGCCTTAGATATATTATGAGATAAGTAAAACCATCATCATAGAGCAATAAAACTTTCAAAATATAATAATTTAAATTGCCAATGATAAACTAATACTAATAATATATATTAAGCTGATATAATATACTAATCTACCACGTGTTATGTGGGCATCAATTTTATTATGTAAATTATACGTCCATGGTACGCAGTATAATATTATGTATAGACATTTGATTCATCAATTAATATTATCGATATTGTGTAAATAAGTGACTGTTAGATGTATGTAATCAACTATAAATTTACATTTTCCAACAATTCGTAAAAAAAAACAATAAACCACCACAACCGATTCGGGTATTTTCATTGTGAACGCGATAGATGCGACTTCTCCATTCTCGGAATTCAGACTTTTTTTCCGATATATCATATTGTAATATTATGCACGGTTTTAAAATTGTTTTTGTTCAAGTATTTCATACTGGTTAGTGAAAGTTACCATTATTATGATAACACGGCGTTATGGATAGGCATTTTAGGTACACCACGATGTCTAGAGCCTATTTTTCCGATATTTTACAATAATAATATTATAATTTGATATTAATTGATATTAATCATCGTACATAATGTAATCGTCTCATAATTATATGATAATATTTTGATGCTTATTATCAATAATTATCCATCAAAATACAATATAAATATAAAAGTAAATAAATCTAATAAAGGTTAAATTTGTAAAAAACTATATTTTAATTAAGCGAATAATAATTACTCGTTATAACGAACGAACGCAAGGTTACTTAACATGGTAATTGTTTCACTAAAGTTTGTAATTTAAAAAAAAATTCTATGAATAAATAATAATGATTAATAAAACAGATTTTCAAAATGTATGTATACCATAACTATTAGCTATGCTGGATTTTATAATAGCTACCTCCAACATATTAAATCCTATTTTACAACTTGACCAATCAACAACCAATCATTTTTATCCGACAAAATAATAAATTCTTATTCATAATATACAGTATTTTAACGTAAATATAAATATATTTTATGTAAAATGTATAAATGTTCGTATGTTAACCTCTAAATCAGCTAATAATCATATCTACGAAGTTTAGTTAAAGACTTAGAGCATTCAAGTTAAAAAGTCATGATCATTTCTCAAATAAGTAAATAACTTATCTATTTCAATGCTGCATATTAATTGTAATGTATGTAAAAAGTCAATTGATATTGTTAACTATCTAAGAAAATGTATAAATGTTTATTTTTAACATATAAAAAAAATTAAATAATTGTTTTAATGCCCACTTCACCCAAATCCTTTTTTAATGTCTTGTACTCCCAAAATAAATTTTAAAGAAATCTATCGTTTTCTAGTTTTGCATAAAAAGGTATTGAAAATGCAAATAAATGCAGTGTATGACCAGTATACCTACATTATGTGTAACATAATAAACCTTTTTCAATTTTATTTGTCACGTTTGTCATTTATTTTGATAAGTTTGGTAAAAAATTGAAATACCTTCTACGTGAATATATAGCAACATACCTATAGCCTATCAAAATGGATTTTAAAATTGTAAACCCAAAAACTAGGTGACCACTCTGCTGTATAGTGCAACTAACTCGTCATTGAGCGAGTCACTGAAATATTTTGTTAAATTTGAATCCAATGCAAAATCACAGCATACAATGAAAGAAACATACATCTGAGTGAAAGTGGTCTGCTAGTCTTTATTGCTAGATAGATATATTATGCTATGATACGTTTGTATTACTGCTATAGTAATTTATTTTACCATTGCTATGTTGGATTAATTTATGCCGAAACCATTGCATTTTTATATTAATTGTTAAAATAGTACCAATGTATTAATCATTTAGTATATTATCATTACTGTTATTAATATAATACTAAAAATATTAATAATTAATTTAGTAAATACGAAAAAGTTTCAAGTTCACACGAATAATATTTTTGAATTTCAACAAAATAACTAAGCTCGGTATTCTTCGTTTAAATATCTAATTTTGTCCAAATTTGAACTTCAAATGATTTTTTTTATTGGTCTTCAAATTTCTGTTCTGACAATTAAAGCCATTAGCATTGCACTTGTTTATTATACATTTACATTTTTATAATAAATTACTTCAGTTTCAAAGTAATTTTAAATAAATTCTATTCTAAAAAAATTGAAGCACTTACTGTTATTCATTTTTGAACTACAACAAAAAAATAAAATCGATTTTCTCAAAAACTAACATAATGTATTATTTTTGAGTACAAATCCCATTTGCCCCTCTCTCATTTTGTTTTTTTTTTGTGACGGGATTTTCCCAATTATTTAGGAATGTACTGAGGTTAGGCTTTTTTACTGTTAAAGTCAATCCACCTGCCTACCCACATTCTTTAAGTACCAACTAGATTCTCCTACTGGAAAAGATATTGAAGTTGAAACTCTTAGCATTTTTATTGCTCCAGGAGGTCAATAAACTGATAACACCATAAAAAGACACTAAAATAAAACAACAAGTTGTCGTAAACTCAATACATTAATCGCCACACTCAGTATCTAAAAAAAAAAAACTATCGATTTTATGTCTCTGCAGGTACACTTTGAAAGCACCTACCTTATAGTCACAGGATTAAATGATTAAGTCCAAATGCACACACAAACGCACGCTGATCGGTCACTGCTGATTAGCCATACCAGTCAAAGATTAATTTGAGCGGTGTACACGCACAACAATCGCACTCCTGAAATACACGCGATTATTAGTCTTTATTTATTTTACACCGTGAAAACTAAACGCTCCAACTAAATTCAAAGCAGTACACTCATTACAGGCCGACATTATTGCCCGGAAAATTTATTTCTAAAAGTTTAATATTCAAATATTGATATAATAAAACCAATGCTCATTATTATCGTCCTAACAGATTGCGATCTTATTCAAACTCGGGTCGTAAAAAATAACAATAACACTAACTATAATTTACGCTGATAATTACCCAAACCGGAACCTACCTAAAAGTGTTCTTGATTTATTCGAATTCATTCTAATTAATCTGAATAAGAATTATAGGGATTAAACAAGGCTGAATAATGAGCATAGACCTTTTTCTAAATAATTATTGATACTTAGCATACACATAATTACATTTTAAAATCAGCAATCGAGGCATTCGCGTAGGTAGATACTATATTGTAGGTATTAAATATAGCTGTCCTCCCCCCTCCCCCCTGGCGTCGCCACATTTGTTTTTTTTTATGTAAATGCAATATTCATACGGTGGATTGAATGATCGATGATGCGACTCCATTCAGTGTTTTTTGTAGGTATGTAAAAAGTGTAATATCAAAAACATAGTTTGAGTGTCTAGAAAGATAGCTAATATTAATTAATATAATATTACGGAAGTAAAAAAAAATTCAAAAAATATTTTAAGTAAATAGATAGATAATGGAAAATAAGAATAAATTATAATTATAGAAAATAAATTAAAGTGTTGGAAGATTTTCATTGTGTTATGGTTTATTTCTACATTTTTCAAAAAACACGTGAGTACACAAAATACAGAGGATCAATCCAAGGGTCGGTCATAAATATATTACAATACATGAGTACATCTTTTATATTTTTTTATACGAACAGTTTCTCGAATTTTCAATTCTATATAAGTGTAGGTACGCTATTAATAGACACCCATTCATCATAGATGAAGTTTAGTTGGAGTAGGTATTCAGGCTTACAATTGCATGTGACTTTTTCAAAAAAAATGATCAGACCCAATATGTACAACAGTTACATAAACAAAAACAATATTGTTGACTATCGAATCAAATGTATAAATGTCTATTTTTAAAATGAAAAAAGTTTTATAATGTATAGGTACATAAATTTAAATGAATTTATTTAGTTCAGTAATTTGTATTGTTTTACAAGTTATAAGCAAGCAAAAATTCATTCATCATTAATATTGTTTATGCGTATGTTTTAAATGGTTAACAATTTGAATTAAACTTTAAATTATAGTCAGTGTGTTTAATTTAACTCTAATATAATTATTATAAAATGCATTGTTTAATTATCAACCATTAAAAAGTGAACATTATAAGTAAAAATATTTGTAAAAATTGTTAAATGTCGTCCAATGTACATCAGAATATTGAAAATAAACTAATCTGAAACCATATTACTCAAATGGACTAGTAACAAATAGTCACAAAATATATTTACTTTTTTGTAGGTATTTATTCTAGTGGGTTCATAAAAATAAAAATTATTGAATAAAAGGAGTTTATGGTAACATTGGTAGCTACTTTACTCTATCGTGCACTCTGTTGCCAAATAAGGTTTTAAAACTTCTCCAATATCCAAAGTTTCACCGTATAAGTTTTCAAATGGCAGTACTTATGATATTGTTTAAACTTTTTATTTACTAAAAACTGACATCATCAAATTAATATGAGCATTTGTATACAAATATAGTTAATAGTTAACATTGTTTTGTAAGTATACAGGGTGATCCAACAAGTATGCTCGACCCCCTTTTTTCTTTAATAATGAATTTTTTCAAAACCTGATTTTGGAATCTTGAAATATATTCAAAGACCATATTTTCATAATCTTGAGATTCTTTGTGCCACTTAAGGAGTGTTCTGTGGCGTTACGAACCTTTGTTTTTCAAATGAGAACCCCACTTTTTTTCTTTAAATTATTTAGCGGATAATTTTTTTGAGAAATTTGATCTATCGAAATCAAAATGTCTAGAAGTTTCCTAGTTATTAGACAATTTGTACAAGGATAATAGTCCAAAATAGGGATATACTTATTCAGTTCTACACATGGAATAAGAAAAACAACTAAATAAATCAAGAAGAATTTTACTTGCTATTTACCTAAGTGTTTGATTAAATAAATATAAAATGACGTATTACTTTATATTTTGTGTATAGACTATAATAGATAACAACTTATACTGTATAAGCATATCCTTTTTCCCTATTATAAATTATATTATCATTAGTACAAAATGTGTAATAACTAGAAAACTACTCATTCAAATTTTGATTTCAATACATCAAAATTCTCAAAAAAATTATCCGCTAAATACGAGTAGTTTACAATAAAAAAAAGTGGGGTTCGCATTTGAAAAACAAAAATTTGTATCGCCACAGGACACTCCTTAAGTGGTAAAAAAATCTCAAGTATATGAAAACATGGTCTCTGAATATATTTAAAGATTCCAAAAATTAGATTTTGAAAAACTTCATTATTAATGGAAAAAGGGGGTGAGCATACTTGTTGGATCACCATGTTTATAGGACACTAGACAAAATAACATATTTTTGTGATAGATATTTTGTGAAAATAGATAGGTTCTTACCTAAATGTCATAACTGTTTTTCTTCCATTTAGATTATGGAAGGAGCGATGAATCAATTGATTTTACAATGAAAGTTTTTTTTATATTTTGTTCTAGTAGAAAAATGCTTATGTTTTTAACTTTGGGGAGTCAAAAACCATAAAAAAAATCCAAGTATTTTTAAAATAACCAAGAAAAACGAAAAAAAAACCAAATTTTTTAACCAAAACCAGTTTTTACAAAAAAATTTTTTTGGTGTAACTATGTAGTAAAGAAAATTAATGAGTTATTTTACGTTTTCGACAATTTATTTTGAAATATTTTTAAAATAGTTAAAATAGAGCTAGGATAACTTCTGAGTTATTCACAACTTTAATTACAAAAGTTGCAAATATTAAAAAATATATCAGTCTTTTGCTGCAAAGTGGGAATAATGTTTTTTTCCAAAAACTTAAAATATAGTTAGAGCTTAAATTATAATTATTGTAAAAATAAAACGATATTAATTTTCTGTTTTAAGTCTCTGTGATCATTAATCTCAGAGTTCTAATTCAGCTAGACAGGCAACCAAATTATGTCTTTAGACTTACACGGGAAAAAAACAAAAGTTACTGGTTAAAAAATATCTGGAAATAATTTTATAAAATGCAATTAAATACCAATATATACCACATTAAATATTACTAATTTATGAATGATAAGTATAATTTGAGATTTAAATTGATCTAAACGAACGGCATTGTACCTATTGAAGCTTGTATTAGTATAAAACTGACTGAAGATAAAATGTTTAGATATTTCACCAATGATATTCAATCATAATTCGTGCGGTACTAAATAATACAAAACTAATATAACACAATAGGAATGTTATTAGTTTATTCTTCCCACAAGATTTGTAGTATTCATAAATGCGATAAGTATATAGGACCTAGAAAAAATACTAAAAAATGACAAAAACGACTCCATGTTCTTTACAACTATACATATAAAACCAGTTCTGGAAAAAAAATCCATTAAATGTTATTATACAGGTTACAGCTTATGAGAAGGTATGACTTACAGATAAGCATGAAACTTTTTGAATTCCTTTTTCTACTAAAATAAAAAAAAAACCAACACTGTAAAACCGATACATTCTTTTCTTTGCTAAGAATATAAAGCATAATCCTTAAAGTTTTGTTTTAACGAAATTGCATAAAATATTCACACAATGTAAATTATGTAATAGAAAACTGAGTGAATATTGAAACATAAAAAAAATCCAGTTACCTAAATATCGAATTAAAATTCTAAGAAAGGTGTGTTATGTAGCTTAAATAACAAAAATCAAAAGAACACGGGAATAGAAAAAAAAAAGTCAATTTTTTTGTTTTTATTCTATATGCTTCGTTAAATATAGTTATATACAGTCCGAATTTTGCGAAACACTATTTATAACAATAATAAAAATAACTATAAAATGGCATTTTCTTTATTATCACGGCGCTTATTATTGAGTGTTCCGTTTATTGAAAACTCAAAAGTATTATAACAATAATAACTTCAAATACAATACGTGCTGTAACTAATTTTAAATAATATTAATAGCTTTTTAGACGACAGTAAAATTCTTTATATTCAATAATATAAATCGGAATATTTTGAATGTTTAATAATTTAGTATTCAGACTTGGTATTATTATATACCTACCTATAGTTAATATACCCAATGTGTACTAATTTATTAAGAGTATACGCTATATACATTTAAATATAAAAAACCTTTGTGAGATTTTGTGGGTATCCATTTATAAATGTGACAGATTTTGGTGATTGAACTTTATTTTATAATTTCAAAATTTTCGAAGGAGACTTGCATCCGGTAACACTAGTTCGATAATGGAAAATAAACATTATATGAGTCTCAATCGTATACTTATAATACGTTTCCAATCATGTACAAAAATTAAAAACGTTGAAATATTTAATCGATTAGTTGTATTGAATTTACAAATATTATTTCAGAAATAATCACAAACATTAATTATAGATAAAAGATTGTAATAAATTGAAATATTTGAAATCTAAGTGTGAATTATTTAATAATCCAATGGAAGTTGATTTCTTCTAATCTCCTTCTGATATTCTATTGGAGTTGTATGATCTGATTCGGATCCTTTCTCCAATCGGAGAAAAAATGTTGGAAAGTTTTATCACACGAACAATTTTCAAATCTATTGGATTTTTGTTTTAAAATTCTAATATTATTAGGAAGCGTTTATATTTATGAATCAATATTTTTTCCCCTATGAATTTAAGACTAAATTGAGAACTCGTGTCGATAATTCATCATTGGAAATTGAAATCGTTCAACAAGAGTTAATTAAAATGAATGTTCAATTTAC